TGAGCCCTCTGGGGCGGTGGGCAGGCCCGGGCCGGCTGCTCTTCTGTCGAAATCTCCCTCCGTCAGCTTGCTCTTTGGCTTTGGTCTGGTTTTAATTTCGGACTTGAGCGCTGATATTTTTCCATCCCCAGCCTGTAGGAATCAAAGCTTTTCAACTGTAGCCGTTGGCCCTCCCCACCCTGGGCCTTGGGGCGCTTTATCTAATTTCCCCTTGGCGCTTTAGCATTTCCGTTGCCCGCACGCTTAACTCGAGTCAGCTTTTCGTGGCTGAACGTGACCCTGCACCTGTCTTCTGTCCGCACTCCCAGATGGCTGCGTCCTCTCCCGTCTAAATGGCGTGAGCCCAAATGTCTGGGTCCACCCCCGGCCCCTCCTCTGAGGGCCAGGTGTGTCGGTCCTCTCACGGGTACTGCGCCCGCAAAGCCCCAACCTTCTGTCGCTTTATCCCACCCCAAGTGCTGGAAATCTCTTTCCGGTTGCCCAGGCCTCGGTGCCCTCCCTGGCTGTCAGCACATCTTCAAAATGTGCCCAGAACAGAGTCGCGAATCTGGTCCCCACGCTCACCGGCCTGGTTCACGCCACCGCCATCTGGTTATTTCTGGGACCTGATTGGTTTCCCTGCCTCTGCCGGGGTTTCTTTCTGTTAATTCACGTGAATAGCTTTTAAAAGGATAATATGAATGTTATACTTCCTATAAATAAAACTAGATCGTAGTACACATTTTGAGAATTTCAGCCTTTAAATCAAGTAGACAGAACTGAATGTGACACTATTACCAAGCTACGAACTGAAAGATGTCCTTTAGCTTCATTTCCCACTGGGGGAGGCAGAGGACCTGGGTGCTGGGATGGGAGCCCAGGGGTGCTGCATGACTGAGCTGCCTCCCCTAGCTCTCTCCTCCCCCTTTCGTTTGGAGACAAGGCCTCGCTGCCTTGACTGGGAGGGACTCGCTTTCAATTATCCTGCCTCAGCCTCCCAGAGTGCTGGGATTTCAGGCATGCAGCACCTACGGGACCACCCTTTAGTTTTCTTAGGTGTAAACCTGACAGCGTCCCTAGGACAGAACTGGGACTGGAAGGAACAACAGAAGCATCCAGAGCCTTCTTCCGAGTGAGAAAGAGGAGTCATGTAGGAATTGAAGCTTTGTTCCCTGCTGTTTATTTTTAGAGAAGCACCAAAAGAGGAGCCTTGAAATGGAGACAGATTTCCAGCCCTTTGCTGATCACCGCCATAGTAAGTACCTGGGTGCTGACACCCTCGTCACAGAGTGACACGGGTGCGAGTGACGAGTCCCCCCCTTCAGACAAAACCCAGGTCTCCGAAGTAATGGGGTCGGATTGCGGCAGTTTGCTGAGGGCCTAGAGGAGGTTGCAGCTCATAAACCACTGCTCCCTTTTTTGCTGTCACTTCACAGAGAAACAAAGTGGCAGATGGGAAAACCTTCAGTCTCCAGCCATCACAGCGGTGAGCCCTGCCGACCCTTGCTGCCTCCCTGCTCCGACCCAAGGCCGCTCCCTGTCCATGCTTTGGGCCCTGTCCCCTGCACCGCCAGTTGTCCGTTCTCTCTTGGTCCATCTCAAGTGGCTCTGCCATGGCTTTTACTGTGTCCAGTGTCCCACTGCCGAAGATGGAGAAAAACAAATCTCCCTCCACCCCACCTCCGCTGGGAGCCCCAGTCATGTCCCACCCCAGGTCCCCTGGGATGCACCAGCTGTTTACAGAATCCCCTTCAGTTCCTCTGTCCCTGTGCCGCCTTCCTCCACCCCTTCCTGTCCACTTCCAGTCTCCACTCGGTCTAAAGCCAAAACTGCTGCTCGGATGTCCCCAGGCCCTGTCTTGCTCCGTCCCTCAGCTTTGTCCCTCCTTAAATGCTTGGGCTTGTATGTTTGCAGGCCCCTGGTACCTCTCATGTTGCCTAGTAACACCGCATTTACAAGCTAAGGGAAGAGTGTTTCCGTTTCTTCGCCTTCTGCTTAACTCTGTGCCCAGGAGCTCCTGCTCTTAAGGGGCTCTGGCTGATGTTTCCTCCACGCCACATTCACAGACACACCCATGTCCGCCTGTGCCCCACTGCTGGCCACAGGACCTTGACTCCCTGTTCCAGCCAGTGTCTATCAGATCTCCCCAAAGTCCCCCCCTCCCCTGTCTTGTCTTTTGTTTTGTTTTGTTTTTGAGACAGGGTCTCACTATGTGGTTGAGACTGACCTGGAACTCACTATGTAGCCCAGGCTGGTCTCCAACTCACATTGATCCTCCTGCCTCAGCCTCCCGAGTGCTGGGATGACAGGCATGTGCCACCACACCTGCCCCCCCATCTTGTCTTTGTGTTTGATGAGTATTTTGAGGAGAGATAGCCTGATATGATGCCCAGGCCTGCTCTTGACCCACTTACACCCCCTCGTGGTACCATCCACTGCCTTCTACCTTCCTTGGCTTCCCAGTGGAAGTTGTTCATTTGTTATTGTATTTCTGCTCCCACACATTTATTGGTTGTCACTGTAGCATTAGAAAGAGTTTTTTCTTTGTTCTCCTTTTGCGTGTATATCAGTATGGATTCACGGATTTCTGTTTACCCGGCGAGTTGGACTCCTGCTCCATCCACATTTGTTGTGACACTGGAATTGTCCTAGGCTTGGCGGGCGAGAGCTCCTTCAAGGCATCTCCAGTGGCCTCTTGGTGCGCGCCCAGCTGTGTACTGTGCAGCCCGGGCATGGGCCACCCATCTTGGTTTGCAGAGAGCCCTGATCCCTTGCTGTGGAGAATGGTATTTAGGGACAAATGGGGCAGAGTGTTCACTGTCACTGAAGTGTCAGTGTTCCAGAAAGCACACACGCACGCGCGCGCGCACACACACACACACACACAACCTAAATATGCTCGTATATACATGAGTGCAGATATCTGTGTCTGTGTGAGCACTAACCCAGCCCGTGCAGGGCTGATCCAGCGCCCCAAGGTTCTTTTCTCTTTCCCCCTTCCTATGCAAGTAAAATTCTCTCAGGCAGTAAGACGCTTGACTCCCATGATTCTAAATATATGTACTTGTTTCTTTGATTAACTTCATTCCTTCTGTGTAAGTAATTTCCCAACCTTGCCAACTACCGGACACTTTTTTGTCACCCTTATCCCCACACACGCACCTCCAGGTGTCTTCCACTGTGGCCTCCTGCTCCGGGGGTGGGGAGGGAGAGGGAGGGTATGCACGAGCATGAATATCTCCATCCTGAATGCTTATGAGTCTGCCGTTTCCTCTGACCGGTTTTTCCAAAGCCAAAAGCCCCACTACCCCTGGGATTGGTAGCCTTTTTCATAGCTATAGCCCAGATAAGGTAAAGCAAGGAAGCTTCTAGAAGCATTAGAGTAATTTTCCCAAATCACTCGAACCCACCCTCTGTCTTTTTGGAATTTATAATAGTGCATTTAATCCATACTTTAATGGCCTGCTTTTGGTCTCATTTTAATTCGTGGTGTTTTCACAAGTACCTATTCAGTTCCCTTTGGCCACTATAACAAATCACCACAAACTGTGCCTTAAAATAAAAATGTGTCTACAGCCGTGCGGTCAGAAGCCTGAAATAAGTCTTCTGGGCTAATATCAAGATGCTGCAGGTCCCTTCCAGAGGGCCCATTGCCTTTCCCTCTCTAATGTTAGAAAGGCCCGCGTTCTCCAGCCTGAGCACTGCTCCTGCCTGCTGGCCTCACGGTGTCGGTGTCATCGCTCTCTGACACGGCCTCCTGTCTGTCACGTGGCCTTCCAACTCCAACTCCTTCCTCACCCGTCTTACAGAAGCCCAGGTCTTCCCATGAGGCCCACAAGGATGACCTAGGATGATTCAGGAAAGTCTTCCCGCCTCAAGTCCTGGAAACTTACTATGCTGCAAGTGTCTTTTGCTCTGTATAGGAACACAGGTTCTGGGGACGAGCCACAGACACCCTTGGGGGCATTATTTCAGCCTCTCACAGTTTCCAGTGAATATCTTACATCTCAGAAATGGGATTTTAAACCCAGCTTGGTGGCACACACCTGTAATTCTAGCACTCTGGGAGGCTGAGGCAGGAGGATTGAAAGTTCAACCCTGGCGCAGGCAATTCAGCAGTTTAGTGAGACACTGTCTCAAAATAAAACATAAAGAAAGGGTGGAGGGGGCCTGGGATTTAGCTCAGTGGTTTTGCCACCTAACTCACAAGCACAAGTTCCTGAGTTCGATCCCCAGTACCAAAAGAAAGAAAAAGAAAGGGTAGAGGGGGGAATAGTTCAGAGTGAGGCCCTGGGTTCAGTCTCCAGTGCCCCTAAAAAGAGGAGAGAGAGAGAGAGAGATTTTACCTCCTTTCATTGAGGAAGGGTAATGAGCAACATCAGGACCAGTGATGGTGAACTTTTGTTTAGAAAAAACAAGTCTACATTGGCACCTTTTGTCTTAAAAGAGAAACACACACATGCATACCACAGGTTCACTGCCACTGATAGACACTGGCTGGAGACTGACTGATCTTAGAGATCTTGCCCTATATATGTCCGCACACCCAGAAATTCGCCTCATTCTTGTATATCCAAAACCACTAGGGCTGGGGCTTTGGCTCAGTGGTTCCGCCACCTACCTTGTAAGCACAAGGGCTGAGTTCAATCCCTGGTACCACACAAAAAAAGAAAAAAAAAGAAAGAAACAACAAAACCACAAGTATCCCTTAGTATTATTAGTCATGGTTAACGCTGTGTCTCCTCTGGTTCTTTAACGTCTTCCGCGCTGACAGATGAGGCGTGGAATCTGATTGTTTCAATCTGCATTTCACTGTGAGCTTGAGCCTCGTGTTTTTCTCTGTTGTGTGCAGATTGGCACTGTGCCACCTCTGTTATTCGTTGTATCAAATGGATCATTGTAAGAACCCTTTGTAAGGCCAGGGATGTGGCTCGGTGGCACTGCACCTGCCGGGCAAGCACAAGGTCCTGAGTTCAATCCCTGGCACCAGAAAAGAAAAAGATAGTATCTTTTGTCTGTTGCGTAGAAGTTTTATGTTTTTATGCAGCCATTATCATCGGTTGTTTCCTTTATGGTCTGGGCTTGATGTCTTACCACATTTTATATTGCCCTTTACGATGTTTTTCTTAACAGTTCCATCTTTAATCCACATAATTAATTTCAGTTTGCATTTGGAGCCTAGTCTGTGGTTTCTGCTTTTGTTTCTGAATCTAGTTTATCACACTGCTTTGTTACTCGGGCACCAGTATCGGTCTGTTTCAATGACTGTGGCTGTAGCTGTCAGGACCTGATGAAGGCAATCCTGTTTAGTCACTCTTGGTGAAGTTCCTCTGTGTGCTCCCGTGTTCATTTTTCAGTTTAAAAAAAGTGTGAAGGGAATGGGAATTGTGAAGGGCGGATAAGAAGCCAGATGTGGGGGTGCACACCTGTAATACCAGCTATGCGGGAGGCTGAAGCAGGAAGGTTGCAAGTTTGAAACCAGGGTGGACAATTTAGTGAGACCCTGTTTTGAAACAAACAATAAAAAGGGCTGGGGGCATAGCTCTGTGGTGGGTGCTTCCCCAGCGTGTGAGGCCCTAATTTCAATCCACTGTACTCAAACTCTGGGTAGGTAAAGAAGGAAAACGTGTGTGTTAAGCTGTTATTTCGTATGAGGCAGGGTGGGTTGATACAATTGTGTATTGAACCACAGAATAATTTAGGGTGGAAACATTTGTTACCATTGTAACTGAACTGTCCATTTGAGTTAATTATAACTTCACTATAGAATACAGTGCTTACATGTAAGAATGAGGATTTTCTGGTTGTGGTAATAGCCGAGACCCGGGTAAGTCGAGAGACTGATTGTGGGGCCAGAATAAAAACTTTGAGCCAATATCAGTGCTTGGAAATAAGATATAGCCAGGCATGGCGGTGCATCCACGTGGGAGGCTGAGGCAGGAGGATCTCCATGAGTTCAAGGCCAGCCTGGACAGCTGGGGATTTAGCTCAGTGTTTCCGCCGCCTGCCTCATAAGTACAAGGTCCCCAGTTCGATCCCCAGTACTAAAAAAAAAAAAAAAAAAAAAAAAAAAAAAAAAAAAAAGACAATCCTGGACTACACAGTGAGACCCTATAAGAAAAGAAAATAAGATCTGGTAGTCACTGGCAGGACCAGTGAGGTCTCCCACTGGTTATTTTTGTTGTCTACAGACAAGTAAATATACTCCACAGAGTTTATTCAGCTCAGCCCCGGAAAGAAAGAATGGGCTGGGAA